TACCCGGCCATTGTGTCCCCTCCCTCCTGCTCCGCAGCCTCTCCTTTACTTTATCCTGCAGGACACTTCCTGCGGGAGCCGCAGCAGCAGCCTGCTCGCCAGCCCTGCTCCGGCAGGCTTTATCCCGGCAGGAAACGAGAGGCCCCTGCCCCCAGCTCCGCCCGGCTGGGTGTTGGGCACACTGACGCTGCGGTGGGGTTTCCCAACGTGCCGAGGGTTTTCCTATGCACTGCTGCGGGAGCTGCAGGATGTGCAGCCGTCCCTCCTTTAGCTGGATTGTGGGAGCTTGCTGGGCTTTTGGTGCTAAGCAGCTGGCCTTGGCTTTGGAGGGGCTTGAATTCACCCTCCCCTTGACCCAGCACACAGAGGCCATAACATGAGCATCAAGGCACTGCTGGCCAGGACCACTGGCTGCCGGTGCTGGCGTGGGGAGAAGGAACCCTGCCAAGATACTCTGCTGTAATGAGTGTGTTGCCGTGTGTTTTCCGTACCGGACAGAGTGAACTGGGGGAGAGGCATGAGCTGACAGCCCTTGGCTGCAGCTTGTGCTACCAAGTGCTTTGGGAGAGCCTGGGAGATGTAGCTGCTCTGCTGTGCCCAGCCACTGGCCCCACGCTCCTGTGTTTGCTGTGCGGTGACTGAGATGCGGCCAACACACAAATGGTGAACTCACACACACTCCCAGCTGCAAAAGTATCTCAGCTGATGGCAGGCTTGAGAATTATGACCATTTCCTAGCTTTTATTACTCCTTCAGCAAGCCTTGCTGGCTGTGTGGCTGACAGGGACTCATTGTGCTGATTTGCCTCTAACTCCACTTGTGGAGGCCAGGCTCGTGCAGGACCTGTCCCTGAATGTCTGCATGGGTGCTGGGGGGCTGTGTTGTGATAACAGAGCATGTTGTGATAACAGTACCATGTCCTTCAGATGCTGATGTGAGAACAGCAGCCTTGTTTCCCCACTGCCCTTGTAACAGGGAGAGGTACTGCCATTCTCTGGTGGCTGTGTAATTGGCTGTGACTCTTCTGATATCTGTGTAATCTCCACAATTACCATAAAACAGTAGATGCTTCATGAAGCAAAATGTAACGGGATGGGATGTGGAGCGTCTCTTGTGAGGAGCTTGTTTGGCTGGTGCCAGCCAGGATCCTCTGCTTCAGCCACTTTCAGTGATTCCAAAGCAGGGCACAGCAGCCCCTGTTGTGGTTCGTAAACACCACTGTCCATCCTTGGATTTTATATAACTCCAGAGCAATTTGTCAGGTTTTTCTCCTCAGAACACCTCATCCTGGTTTTGGCTACCTCTGATACATGGGATTTTTTTCTCTTTTTCAGTTGATTGGCATCATTCTCGCCTGCTGCCTGTCCCGGTACATCACGAACAATCAGTATGAGATGGTGTAGCGGGCCCCCAGCACTCTGTGCCTGTGGCTGGGTATGTCTGTGAGCTCAGTGGGCTGTCTCTGTATCTGTGGCTGCTGCCTGGTTGCCCCTGGGATAGGGGCACCATGCGTGGGGCATGTGCTTAGAGGGAACCTGCAAGACCATGTCTCCTATGTCATTTTAAGCTGTGTATAAATCCATCCTGTCTGTTATCTCTTTGCTGTTGTGCGTTGCAGGAAATGCTCTCCATGGCTGGGGAGGATACCTCCACCTTCAGTTTTCCTCTGGATGCCACATTGTGAAATCTTGCTTTGAACTGACTGATCTTCTTCTCGACTAGCTCATAGAAACGAGTGCACCAGCTGTCCTGGTGTGCTCAGGGACTTGTCCTGACACTACTCTGCTGTGCCACTGCCTGGGATAATTAGTGTAGCTGTGGTGGTTACAGCCAGCACGTTCCTCCAGGCGCTGCAACTCTTTCCTTGGCAGTGCAGAGTGCTGTGCCATGTTGAACCAACCCTGCTGGTGGCCTCGTGGGACTCACAGTGCTCACCTTCAGTGCCTCCATTGGGAAAGTGATGCTTCCCCTCCCTTGTGACAGCCCTTTGAGATCCCCTCACTCTCCGGATGTGGTTGCTCTCGAGATGAGGCTGTTGCCCCATTAAAACACAGCCCTGCCTGCCTGAAGCCTTGGCTCAGCCAGGTCTTGGCTTGTTGCCAAGCTCTCTTTCATCCCTACCCTGGGTTTTATATATTTTTTTATAGTTGTACTTCTTGAAGTACAGGCTGTAGTGATTCTTTGTAAGCTGTAGTGAGATTTGGTGATGTAGCTCCTGGTGCCTTTACCTTGGTAGGTGTCCTTGCACCGAGTCAGCTGTGACTTGACTGTCAGTATTATATGCTGCTTCAACTCATTTTATGTATTGAGTAGAACTCTTTTGTCCTGAGACACAATAAATATTAAGATATTTTACTCTATGAAACCTCCTTGACTTTTCTTTCATGTCCTAGAAATTCCTCTGCTTGAAGAGCAGCAGGCCCCGCTGGGGGTGATCTGCTCACCCCGGGCCAGGCAGGAACCTCTGGCCATTGCAGTTCACATTCCTCCAATGTGCACTAGTGCACTTGTGCTTGCAAATAACTTCTGTAATTGAATTTTCTTCATAACAGAGGTTGTGTAACAGTGCTGAAGCAGAGGGCCTGGAGCATCCCAGCCCAGGAGCCAGGTGGGTAAGTTCAGCCCAGTGCAAACACGTGCATCCTTGGCTGGCCACGGTCTTGGAGAGAAGGGCAGGGCAGTGCTGGGCAGTCCCCAGCTGCTCCCCAGGGCAAGAAATGTGGATTTAAGCTTTTACATTCCTTTGTTACTGCTCAACTTGTGGCTGTTTCATCAGCAAGCCTTTGCCTTGCCAACCCTGATGCTGCAGTGATGTAGTGAAGTTCCCCTCTGCCAAGCTTGGGGGATTTTTTGGGTCTCAAGCACTGAACTCAAATGAGCTGTATCTGGCTGAATGCTGGGCTGCCTGTCCTGTTCCTGGAGAGGAGGCAGGTGTAAACAGAGCAGTGAAGCCATGGGTAGCAGTGGTGGCCCTTTGTCAGTGTCACCACTGTGGCAAATGCTGCCTTGGTGCTGGGTGAGCTGTCCCAGCCCAGCCACCCCACAGTGCGGACAATCACCCGCTACAGGTCAGCCTCCCTGCTGACGGAGGAACCTGGAGGGGAACACCCAAAATCCTTGTGTCGCACTTAACCCAGGTGAGTAAATCAAGACTGTTGTCAGCTCCTGGCAGGCTGAAAGCCTCCTGGCTTGGGATGGCAAGGCAGAGTGCGTCAGAGCGTAGAAACTGGGCTGGAGATTGGCTGATGGCAATTAACGGATGGATGGAGACAGGGAAAGGACACGTGAGAAGCAGAACCATATTTGGATAAACCCATCCTCATCTGAAAGCCTGCATAGAGAGAAGGACCTTACCCTGCCCTGGTCTGTGCCTCTGCCTCCACAGGCAAATCCCTTCCCAGGGTGGCTGGACGACGTGATGCCAGGCAGACAAGGATAGTGCCAGCAGAGGGTGACACGGGGAGCCTGGAGGTTTCCAAGCTGCTGCAGGAAAACCAGCATGGATTGTGCCAACCTGGGGAGTGTGGAGGCTTCTTCAGCCTGCTCATAGGCAGTGACAGCACTGTGGCCATCAGAGCATGTGGATCTTACCTGGTTGAATAGCACCTACGCAGACAACTCACTTTAATTTGGAGAGATGTTCTGGAGGAACAGGCTTGTGCTTGAGGAGGTGCCAGGCAGACTTGGGACACTGCTGTCCTAGCAAAGGCATTGTGTGCACCTTGGTCACCTGTCTGGACCCACTGAGCAGGGAAAGAAGGGCTCTGGTTTCTTGCAGCAACTATGGTTGGGTGGGTTTCACACATCCCCCACTGTGTTTGAACCTTTCCTCTCTGAGGGATAAATGTCTCAGGGGACTTGTCAGGCTTGGTGTCCCCAAAGCTGTCCCTTGGGATGTCATGTGGGTAGCTCTGCTACACCATGCTCCCAGTGTTTTAACCACATTGTCACCACAGCCATGAACAGGGATGGAGGGAACTGCTCTGAAAATGTGCTTATGTCCCCATGGGAGATGCAGGAATGTGAGGAGGGTCTGGCTCTGACTTCTCCTCCCTTCTCCGTATGTACGTTCTGGCCATGACAGTGTGTGATTCTTTTGTGACACAGAGAGGGTTTCACCTGGTGATACCTGCGGGATGTCAGAGCTCCTTGGCAGCAGCTGGCTCCCTGGGATGAGAGCTTGAACCTGGGTCTGGTGTGAGCCCCCAGGCTGTGGGCAGAGGAAGGCTGCACAGGGGTGCACAGGGATTTTGATGTTAGCCCTCAGCACTGCTGCAGGCACTGTCCTGCTCAGGGCAGCTGCAGTGTCAAGGACTTACTTTTTCCCCTCGAGCATCAAGTTTTGGTAGCAGAGCTGGGGACAGCTAGTCACCCTTGGGTACTCCACACCCTTTGCTCCCTCTCACTTTGGATGCTTGGTTCCTCGGGGAGCTCCTTGTGCCAGCTCCTTCCTCTGCCTGTGCTGAGACAACTCCAGAGGGGACTGGTGGCACCCCTGAGCTGTCAGTAACAACTACTGAACACATCAGAGCATGCTGGAACAGGGGGTCAGGACATGCTGAACAACCACCAGCGCCATCAGAGAGCAAATTAGGGACCTCTGCACGTTCCCAGTGAGGTGAGCACCGGCAGACCCAGTACCTGAGTTATGGATGCTCATGACAAGGCAGCCAAGCAATTAGATCACTTCTCAGACCCATTAAGCATCAGACTGAGACTAAAAGACTTTCCATTTTCTTTGCAATCACTCATACAAGACGTTTATTGTTTGCCTCTTGCTGCTCAGCATGGTGGCAACGCACTCGAGCGCAGCCTCACCCAGCCCCGCCGGAGCAGTGCAGGATGCCGGGGGATACACATGGTGAGGGTGCCACAGTCGGCAGGTTTGCACCTCACTGGACATCGAACAGGTAGTGACCTGCGTGTTGGCTGTGTCAGGATGCACCTGGCTGGGTGGTGGTGCGGCGGGCGGGTGTGGGGCAGCACCCGAGCGGTGGGTGCTACACCCTGCCCAGCATCCGCGCAATCCACCAGTTGCAGGGCATGATGATCCGGCAGATGACCCTCCCGCCCTGGTAGCAGTAGGGGTAGGGGTAGTAGCCCAGGAGGGGCTCGCAGACCCGCCGGCAGTAGCGGTTGGCACGGCGGCACTGGGCACAGCAGTAGCCTCGCTCGTCCCACAGGGGATGGAACTCCAGCCCATTCTCTGACTGCGGGGAAGAGGCAGAGTCAGCACAGTGAGGGCAGTGTGTGGCTGAGGCGCCCCGGGGGCATGGAGAGGACATCCTGGGAAGGCAGCCAGGGCACCCCAGAGGCATGGGCAGGGCACCCCAGGAACATGGACAAGGCACTCTAGAGGCATGGACAGGGCATTCCAGCAGCATGGACAGGACATCCAAAGGAGCATAGCTAGGACACTGTGGGAGCATGGCCAAGGTACCCCAGGGTTGTGGCCAGGGCACCCCAGATCATGGGCAGGGCACCCCAGGGTGTAATTCTCTCACTCACATAGTCATTGACGGGCAGGTCCTCCTCAGTGAGCTGTCGTGCCCGGCGCTTGGGCCCCAGCTGTGCATCCTTCTCCACCTCATGCTCGCTCCCCCCATCCAGCCAGCTCTGGTTGTCTATCAGCAGCTCAGGGTCTTCTTCTTCTGCCCCTTCAAGGTTGGCCAGCTCAGGAGCTACAGGAAGAGCCCAACTGTTGCTGTCAGCAACTACAGAGCAGGGGGACAAAAGCTGCAGCAAGAACTAATGTGTTTACCAGAATTTGGTGCCAAGGTACAGAAAATACCCACCAGGAAATCAGTACTCCATTTCCTCCTGCTCTCATCCAGCCTGGGAGAAGGGCTGTAGGAGGTAATGGCCCATAGGTGATGGGTGTCTGTGGGTGCTGTTGGCACCTCCTGCATGAGGCTGTGGGTGTGTAGAAGCACATCCTCATGGTGAGATCTGCTGCTGTGAGGTGGATTTGTAGATACAGCACTCATAGCTTGGGTAAGACCCACAGCAACATTAATTTCCTTTGCTGAGGGAGATGCCAGGAAGCCTCGGGACACTGCTGTCCTGGCAAAGGCATTGGATGCACCTTGGTGACCCAGTTGGACCCACTGACCTGGGACACAAGTGCCGCTGCAGACGGGGTCTAACAGCAGGGATGAGGGAGCAGAAAGGGGACAAGTCAAGGATACCAGCCTCCCTCTGCACCAAGGATCTCTGATACCCACCTGCCCTCAGGACCATGGGTGGCCGGTACCTGTTGGGGACATGATGTGGCTCTGTGGCTGCAGAGCAGAGGGAGTTTTCTCAGTAGGGAGTTTTAAACTAGCTCATTCAGCTGGAAGTGGGTTAGAGAGAGTGGGTAATTACACCAGCAGATCTCAGAGGCCACAACCTCTGTGAGGGCTGTGTAGTGAGCAGCTGGAGGTGGCAACCCCGCCGTGTGATTTAGATGCAGATGTCTGCTCACACTCTGATGTTCATGTGGTGTCGAGAATTTAGGCGTCCCAGTTTCCAGCAGTGCTGGTTTCTTTGCAGGTACAAAGGATTGGGTTTTTTTTCCCTTGTTATGAGGAGGGTGGCCACTCTGCAAAGTGCAGATCAGTGGGGAGCTGGCAGAGACAAGCGCTTTGCAGAGAGAAACTTCAGCCCCTGCTATTACACTGGCCGAGATCTCCTGTGGTCATGGGCAGCACTGTGTTTGTGTCTGAGATGTACAGCAAGGCTGTGAAAATGGGTTCCCACCATGTCGCAGTGGGGGACATGGCAGGGGGGTCATGAGTGTGTGACAGAGCTGCTCCTGGTGTGAGGGCTCAAGAGCACCGTGGGGAGGAGATGGCTCCTTGTACCTGCTATTGGTGTGGGGTGGATCCAGAAGATGGTCACATTTCTGCAGATGTCAAAAATTTTGGAGCTCTTCAGGAATTCCTTGTTCTGAATGGGCTTTTCCCCAGGCACCCAGACTACAGACTGCTCAAAGTAGGTGGTGGTGATTTCTTCTCCCTGGAAAAAGAGCAAGATTTGACCCTGGCATGGTCATCCACATGGGAGACACCCTCTCCCTACCACTGGCTGCTTCTACTTCCCTTGGCTTACCCAGAGGCACCTCTCCCCTCCCAGAGAGCATCTGGACTTTATCTGCCTTGGCTCATGGTGCTCTCTGGGTGCACGCAAAGTACCCAACTGGTCCTCACATGGGGAGAAAGGAAGCCTTGTCTTTCCTGTCCACCTTCAGTCAAAACCACTATGCTCTCTCCTCGTTGATCATCCCAAGGCCTTCTCCTGTGCAGTCCCCACTATCTAGAAGAGCCTTCTGAAGCACCCCAACTCATTCAAACACAAGATTAAAACATCTCCTCTCTGCTTTGCTCTCTTAATCCCTCTCTCCTGCTACTGATTTTGTGATCGAACACTTTAATTTATTCCTCACAGAAATTCTTTGCACGGCTGTATTCTGTAATTTATACCACATGTCTCTGTCGTTGCATTAGTCCATGGTGTGTTTTGGCAGGCACTTAGGGAGGGAGATATATAAAGATTATTGGATGGATCTGCACTGAGCTCTCTGCCAAGGCAACGTTGTCTGTGTTGTTGGTGGTAGCCCATAGAGCAAGCTGGCAAAAGGCATTTTTCTCTCAGAAGGCGTCTGGAGCTGTATATCTCTCTCACAGAGCTTTTTTCTTATGACTTTGGGAAGACACAGGAAGGAGCCAACACAATCTGACCCAGTCTAGGTCGTTTTTGGATTCTCTGGTAGAAGCTGCAGGGTTGGGGCGGTGCTGCTTGCAGCACCTGGCAGCGTGCAGGCTCTGAGAAGAGATGGCTAGAGCTTAAATCTACATTTATCTCACTGGGTTTTACATTTCAGCTCTCTACCCGGGGCGATGTTCTGCTAAAGCCTGGGAAGTCATATCCCTTTTATGATGGTAGCTGAAAAGATCTATTAGCTTCTTAGGGCATAATCAAAGAATCGGTGTCTGGGAATTTGGGTCATGATTCAGGGAGATGTTTCTGCCCACGCTTCGTTTCAAACACATGTCCTGCTGGTGTTTTATCTGCGGCAGCATCCTTGGGGGGGATTCAATCTGCTAACACCCGTCGTCTCTCAAATGGGGAGGCAGGAAGGCTGTGCCACCACAGGGGCCTTGGGGATGGGGACAGGGCCAGGGGACAACTGCCATCAAAGGACTGAGCCATCACTCTGGGGTCAGAGAGGGGTTAAAATAGGGAGTCCAACACCTTTTTCCATGCAGCATGCAAAATGTGAGGCTCCTTGCAGCAGGATGCAGTGGGCAAAAGATAAATTGATGCAGGAAGCAACGAGACACCTCAGTGGGAAGAAAGTACATGCAGGGAAGTGGCCCCAGCCTGATGCTTCCCACTGCTCAGGTCTATACACCAAGAGTTTTCTCAAATTGCATTTCTTAGAAGTGGCTGCTCTTTTAAATCCCTTACTTCTGCCTCATTCTGCTTGAGAACACGAGGCTCAAACCTGCGAGAAAACAATTTGATTGACTTTTTGGTGCCTGCTAATCCTGAGCTGCCTTGCGACCTTTTGACTACAACAGGATTATTGTTCTTGATCTCCGGTATTGTGCTGAGAGGTTTTTGTCTGTCGCTGTCTAATCCCGTCTCTTTTCACTTGTTTTTATAAGCAATCCTCTGAAATAAGAGCATTTTATGAAGCGATCACAGCTCATTATTTCTTTATTGCAGCCTCTCTGGGAAGGCTGGCACAGACGGGAGTGTGGCAGGAATGGCAGCCACTCTCCTGTGCCAGGGAGAGGAGTGAGTTTCACTGGGGACAGAGGTGCCCTGTTTTATTCACCTACCTCAAGCTCGGGGATCTTGGCCTCTGTCGTCTCAGGTAGGACTTTAGTCTGAGTTTTGATGAAACATTTTTGAAGTCCCACGAAGAAGATGCCAGTTATTCCCTGCAAGATCAAAGCAAACACTCAAAAAGCAGTCAGGGCAAAGAGGAGGACGAATAACCCATTGTACAGAAGGTACAGCTGGAGGAGGACTTAGTCATATTTTTGATGTTGATGTTTTTGTGCCACCTCTGTTCCACAGTGGTGCTAAGATGCACTAACAGGTTCTCCTAAGCGATATTGCATTTTATGGTTTGGGAGAACTGGGATTTTTGTAAATATTTTAAAGCAGGTAGTCATAAAATTTTACTCCGCTCCCCTTCTCCTTATAACTATCATGAGCTCTCATTATCATAAATAAAAATATGCAGAATAGTATCTGACCGTTATGGTTATATGAACATTCATCCCCCAGTTCCTGCTAGGCTATTAGCTCAAAATTTTGCCATATGTCACTGCACAGGGTATTTCCCTACAAATTTTAATTAGGTTTCAGAGAGAGCCTACAACAATGTCACGAGGTTTTAATGCTCTCCAGACAGATGAATGTACTGGGCTTGGATAGACTGATGATGATTGTGTTCCTTTGCAAGGGTAAATCAAATAACCAGATCTTGCTTGAAGATGTATTTTGTTGGAACTGAACCATGCTACTATAAATACCAGTGGAAGCTTATGTAGGTATACACCTCCTTTCCTTTGAGAGTATCCTCAGAGAGTTTGAGCATTTCTTTCCCTGATGCAGGAGCAAATAGTCCTGGGACTTGCTTCAGTGATTCCACAGCACACTAAGGGGTCCCATCAGTCCTGCTGCAAGACTGGGGGGTCTCAGGGACAAACTGCCACACTCACATTTTTGAAGTCATGGATCTCCAGGATTTCCTCGCTGCCATTCCCGCTGGTGAAGGTCTCTGTCCTGGTAAGGGGGTCAATCTCCATCACAATCTTCTTCTTCTCACCATTGCTGAAGAACGTGTGTTCCATATCATAGACCTGTAAGGGCCAAAGTCACACAGGGGTCAGCTCAGCACCCCTCCCAGTTTCACATGCTGCCCAGTGGGTGAACAGGTTGGTGCTGGGTATCCTGCCATGGCTGCTTCCTCACACGGCGGCTCTGAGCCAAAGCAACCTTCTGGATAGCACAGGGAGAGGCAGCTCCCTGGTGCGAGGGCTCAGCAGAAGGTCAAGATGCAGCCAGAATGAGGGGTAATTGTCTGTCAAGCCTGGGATGTGTCAAACCTAGGAAAAGATGCTCATCCCACACTCGCATCAGGAGCTTTGCCACAGCTCAGCTCTTGCTCATGCTTTCTGTGGCATGAGCCTGGTTACATCCCAGGCGGGACTGAAGTCCTGAACCCAAGGGGACCTAATTTTCCCTCCTCCCTGCCTTGCTTGCTGCATCACTGTCTCCCTGTCTCTCTTGCTCCATCACTGCATCCCCGTCTCGCTTACTCCATCACTGTGTCCTCAGCTCACTCGCTCCATCTCTGCGCCTTCTGTTTTTCCTGGAAAGGCAGAGGTAAGAGCCTCTCTCTGCCTGGAGGAGATCAAGGATCGCCTGCGGATCAAAGACCTCCTTGAGGGCTGCTGAAGAGCTTCGGGGCGTAGCAGCCGGCTTCCCGGCGGCATTCCTCCCCACGGGGAGCCGGGGTGAGCAGCGCCGGAGGGAGCAGCCCTCCCCTCCTCGCAGGTGCTCGCCGCACTCAGCCAGCCCGGCAGCCCTCCAGTCTCTGCGGATGCCTGACCCTTAAAGGATGAGTAGTGGCAGATGCTATTTGAAGCACAGAAATTATCCTGCTGGCGCAGCGTGAGCTGGCGAGCCTCAGGGAGTCTTGTTTTCCCGATGCTGTGTGGAAGCAAAGGGCTTGTGCAAAACCCCTCAAGTCCACTGGGCAGGGAGGAGGGATGTAGGCACGGTGATGGGAAAGCCCTGTGAATCCCCTGGCATGGCCAAGGAGCCAGGGAAGGAGCACCGTGGCCCCACTGGTGTGGGGCAGGGGCTCTGCCTTCAGTGCCAACCCAAACCCCCTTTCACAGTCTCCCGATTCCTGCACATATCTTCCCATTTGGGGGTTTCAAAGTCTCTTAGCAATGTTTCCAGCATCAGCATAACCCATTTTGCATCCACCTGGGCACAGAACCGGCTGTGGGAACTGCTAGGTACCTTCACCCCTGCTTAAAGGTTAGAGGAGTGATATGCACCTTGGCAGTGATGAGCATCTCCTGTTGGTCTGCAAGAAGCTTTTACAAAGATATATAGCTCTCAGTGGATTTTATGATATGGTAAAAACAGTCTGAAGCCTAAAATGGCTGTAAGGCTGCTAGTTTTGACTGACAAAATGTGCATGGTGCCATGAATCACTTCTAGGACGGCAGGATCCCAGGTGGCACCTTACCTTCGAGTGCCTCTCCATTTACAAAGAATTACTTTGGCCAGTGCAGCGTCCAGCTAACCCACTTGGGCTTTGCCAGCTCCGTGCTATTCAGGGAGCTGTGAGATGTTTTCTAGGGCTAAAAATGACACTTTCTGGTGAATCATTGAAATATGCCCCCCTGCGAGGCTGCAATGAAAACCCCTTGTTAGCTGCATTATCCGCTGTGCCCGCTGGCACAGGTGCTGCCTTTCAGGGGGCACAGCCAAGTCCAAGGCAACCCCTCAGAGGGACAACTTTTCTTTCAAGTTTTTTTTCCCACACTCTGGTTACATTACGGGAGCTTGAAGGGTTTCTTGTTCTTTAAAGAGTTTAATTCCCCTTGGTTTATATTTTTGAGTGTTAGGAAGTTCCAGCCTCCCCCCATCCTGCTTTTCCCCAAGTGCTCCTGAGTCAGCTGGAGAAGACATTGCCCTGCAGCCATTGGGACACAGCAGTGCTGGACACTGGGAGTGTCAGCATGCAGCTCCACTGCAGGAACATCTCTGCTTTCCTGTGACCTCACACTCCACTTGCCTGCCCATCAGGTGTTGGGGAGGGCTGGATGGACTCCATCCTTCACCAGTGCCCGCCGGTGAGGATGCCAAGGACTGGTGTTCTGGATATGCTTTCTGAGACTGGCAATGTCTCTGTGCTGCCAATGGAAATCCTCCCCTCCAGGGGTTAACAACCTCTTCCCCTCATGGCTGGCATGACCCCTGTTTTTCTAGGAACAGTAGAGACTTTATAACCATCTTGGCAGGATCCTGGAGGCACATCTGGCTTTTATTGCTTTTTCTTTTATTTTGGGGGGTATTTATTTCTATTTGCTGATAAGAAGACAAAGTTTCCAGCAAGCAGGGTGCTTCCTCTGCCCGGCAGGAGGGCAGCCTGGCTGGGCTGGAGCAGCTCTGGCATAGGGCAGGGAGGAGAGAGGAGTTGCCAGCATGGGAAACAGGCTGCCTTGGCTGCACATGGGAATTTTGTAGACGTTCTTGAGAGTTGTCAAAACCTGCTGGCGCCAGGGTGCAAAGTGGGGCCTCCTGGATGAGCACGGAAATTCAAAGGAAATGAGAATGAGGGGTACTAGGCAGGCTGTTAGCTTCAAGGTTAAGGGATTTACTTGGGGTACGGGATACAAAAAGAGTTTTGGCAGAATTGTCAGGATGTTGGGTGGCAGCAGGCAGAGATGGACAGGAGATGCACAGTCCTGCTGCCACCCCGACATGCTCGGCACTTACAGAAGTGTCCGTCTGGAGCTGGGAATAAACGAGCCCAATCCAGTTAGCAGGAGCTCCTCCAGAAGCTAATCTGTCTCATCGTCCCCTCACATTGCAGACACATTAAAGTAAGAAATATAATCCATGACAATCAATCACCACTGCATCCTGGCTTTCTCTCCCCTCTATGCAGTGGCATAATGACTTTTCCACCGGTTTCTGGCAAGATAATTGAAATGAAATGGAAAATATTTTCTTACTTGTCATAAAATTTGCTGCCGGTGAAATAAGAGTAACTTTAACTCTTCGTGGCGTAGCTCCCACCCCTGTAATTGTCAACTGGGGAAAGAATGTGGTGGCAGGGAAAAAACTCAGCCTGTATTAAATAAAAGCTAGTTATGAATAATACAGAGATTTTTAAAAGTACCATGAATACTTGTGGTCTGAGAAAATGCACTTTGTGAAGTTGCTTGGGTTTTGGGGAGTAGTTAAAAGTTTCAGGGGTTAAGGGGAGGAGGACAACTCTGTCTGGGGAAACAAGGCTTTGAAATGCTGTATCAAAGAGTTTTTACTTACTTTTCTGGGTGTTGGGTTCCAGAGGTATTTGACACCAAAAAATATCAGAATAAGAGAAAGGAGCAGCACGCCGAGGAGCAGTCCACAGAGCTGGTACCTGGGGCAGCTCTTCTTCCGCGGCTTGGCTGCTTCTGCCTAGTTAATGACAAAACAGTGATAGCCAGGGTGTGCCGAGGATTCGAGGAGGAAGGACACGCACGTATCAGACATTTGTGGTGCTGCAGAGATGCAGGGTGGCAAGGCAAGCCATGAACTTACGTCCAGAAAGCGGCAGTGCTCCGGGCTCTCCCGAGCCGTCCCTCCCATGGTCTCCTCAGTGTGCGACGACGCCAGCCCGCTCCGAGGTGGAGTCAGGCTCTGTCTGCACACGCGGTGGGAAGGCTGGGTCACGGCCGCCCCCACGGAGGTGCAGCCAGCTTTCCCCACAGCCTGCGGGGCCCCAGGCGCTCCCACAGCGCTCCTGTCTGCAGGGCACAAGCCATTCCCACGCTGCTGGAGACGAGCCCACATGAAGCCTCACAGCGCGGTCGGTGTCTGTCACATACGTCCAGGGTCACATTTTTGGTTTAATCTCTGCTTCCTCCGTACCCTGTTGCCCATGCACCAACGGCTGGAGGTGCCCAGGCTGTGCAAATGCTGCCAGTCCCCCCGTAGCTTGGGGACGTGGGCACTGCTGCAGTTGGGGCTGCTTACCTGTGTTCCTGCACGTGAGTGGGGCTCTGCAGTGGGTGCAGCCCAGGAGCTGCCAGTGGGGTCACTGAGTGGCAGGGGGGCATGGGCATGGTGAGGGGAGATGGGAATGGCGAGGGACCAAGTGTATGTGGGCACATGTGTACGAGTATGTGTGTGCAGGCACACGGGCACAGGTGGGCATGGGTCTGTATGTACATGCATGTGTGTGCACACAGGTGGGTGTGTGTGTGTGTGTGCAATGTGTTTGCATGGACATGGACACGGGTGTGCACATACACACGTGTGAGCACATGCGCAGTGTGTGTGTGCCGTGAAGCCTGATCTCTCCCAGTGGAGGGCTGTGGCATCCCACGCCCGCCTCGTGCAGAGCCTTGCCCCAAAGTCGGCCTAGCCAGGAATTTCCTGACTATTTTTTTTTCTTTCAATACGCTCAAAAATTTCCCTGTGTTGAAATCGTAGCGTTTCTTTGTGGAAATGAACCCATCTCAAGAAAGGCTTTCAGAAACCCAGGGTGAGGTTTCTAGTCTGAACACGATGAGGCTCCCTGGTGTAGAAGGGCTGGCATGGAACTCTTTTTCCAAGCTGTTTACTCTAATAAAAACCCAGAGCGCATCATGTACTAATTAAAATTGCGCAGAAAAAATTAAAATCCACATCAAGTTTTGCTCAGGATGAGAAATGGAGACAGAAATTGCTTTTAGTAGGTCCAGGGCTGGCTTTGCAAGCATTGGGAACATCGATACCTGCAACCTGGGGGTAAATCCCGGCGGGACAGAAGTAGAGATGCTGAATAGCTTGGGGAGAGCGTTGTGCACTTGTGTGTGCCAGAGGAGTGTGCCCTGGTGTGTATCTGCTCCCTGCAGAGGGGTTTGGGCTCCCTGGCCCTGGAGCAGCGGGAGCTCCTCACCCCACAGCCCCTTGGTAGCGCCACAGATGTAAAACATACCAGGGGAGTCTAATATTTGAAATGCCAATAACAGAAGGGAATCATATTGATGAGGTTATTTGGAGGAGGAAAAAAATCCCTTTTTAATGGAAATCAATCACAGGCAGCCTTTGAAAACATCTGAGAGATTTTGGAAATCTAAATGCAGCAAATCTGTGCAGACACCAGGTTTGTCTGTCTCCACTTCTCACCAGAAAGTTCCATCTCAGAAGCTTTTGTTATTCACTGGAAACTGACGTATTTGAAAACATTTTCTTTTCTTGTCAAAATTAGAGTTTCAGAGGAAAACTTTGGAACAGCTCTACTGAAAGATGGTTCTGATTACAGGAAAGAATTACAGCAGTGGCGTTAAACAGACGTAATTGATCAGCAGAGCAGGGATCTTCACCATATCCCCCACTCAAGGCACAGGAAACACTGCAAATACCACTCGTAAACTAAATTAGGCATTATTATTTTATTACTGTTGTAAGGTAAATGTCAAGCTTTTTAATGGCAATCACTGTAACTCCAGCAGGAGTCAGATGCCTGAATTAGTTGGAAGAGGTGAGAACCTCCCAGGGCCGGGAGTTAATAAAACTCAATAAATATCACCAGTCCCTTCCAGCGCTTGGAGTGCAGGGGATGGAGCACCTGGGGTGAGTGCTGGAGGGGTGGGGGGATCCTGTGGCTGGGCCGAAGACCTAGTTCTGCTGCAGCCTGCAAAGCTGGGCACTGCTGCCCAGGAGGGATGGGGAGCTATGGGAGTGGGCATATACAATGCATGCATACATACACATGCACACGCACGCACATGGAGCCCCAGAGCCAGCTCAGCACTGCATATCCTAGCTCCATACAGGGCAGGGAGCAGAATGAGATCCCTCAACACTGCTATTCTCCACAGAGAGCATTATGAATACTCAGCCTTGAACAGGGAGGGGTGACATCAGCAAAACCCCGTGCAACCCCAAGTGTCCTCCGCCCAGCAGCTGTGGGTGTGCGACAGCCACTGGATCCTGACAAGGAGACAGATAGTTGAGTTGCTGGATGACACTCATCAAGAATGTTTTTTCCCTCCCCCCATTCCCCAATGCTCAGAGTTGAGTGGTTTAGAGGAAAAAAAAAAGTATTTTTTTTTTTTTACGAAAAGACAACAATTTGGGGGGAAAAACCCTCAATCTCTTTAAGATGACAATCAGGTTCCATGTATAAAAAGCAGTTCTGATGAAAATCTCTCATCAATGCCAATGAAGAGGGAACAATCACTAATTTTCCTTGAAGCTAATGAGCACAAGTGCATATGACAGGGGAGAATTTAATCTGATGCAAACTGAGGAAGAGAAGCAATACTGATATTAATGTGTGACTAATTGATACCCAGAAGAACATTTGAAATGATTAAAAGGCATTTGATTTTTATACAGGACAATAAGAGGCTCATTGGCTATGACTGGTGCATCCTTTCAGTTTTCTACTCCTTGTTCCAATTTGCCCGGAAAAATCCATCATATCCGCAGCGTAGCTTGACTGCTGCATAAAATCTCTGTGCCTGGAAATGTTATACCAAGAAATTCCTCCTGGACAGCACAAAGGATTGTACACAGTGTGAGCGGGGGTGAAAAGCCTGGCAGAAACAGGTCCCCAAACCACTAAAAAGCAGCTCCCAAAAGCAGTGGGGCTAGGGCAGCAATCTCCAGCTGAAACCCCCTCGTGATTAATATCATGCTCTTTTTTATAATGAAAAACCCATTAAGGTCAGTGGCAGCATCTCTGAGCAGCACTAAATTGGAACGATGGAGACAGTAAAGTTAAAAATGAGGCATAATATTAATGTGGATAGTGAATTAATTGGGCAATTCCATGGGCAGTAAGTAAATCATATCATCTACCGTGGGATGCTGCTCTCTCTGGCGGGTGGTGTGGTGGCAGTGGTGGCACCTGCTCCTGGACAGAACCAGGGGAGTGACACAGAACCTCAGCACCTGAGGGACCCCACTGTGTCCCCCTCTTTATCGGTCTTTATGCCCCTTCTCCTTGTTTTCCACTGAGGAAAAATGCCTCTTGCTTTGCTTTTTTAGGTGCTAAAGCCCCAAAACACATCCAGAGTACTGGCTGACAGCTTGTTTGAGGTGATGCATTCATGGCACAAGGTGCCTGTCCTTTGATCCTCAGCTGTGGTCCAAGGTGGCTGTCCCCCTCTGCAGCTGTACCCACAAAGCCTTGAGCAAGCTGCCAGTGGACTTATGGAAATGCTGTTACCCTGGTTTGGGTGGGTCTCTCAGGAAAGGCTTCCTCACCATCAGGAGATGTGTAGTACCACTACACAGCCCTTGCTCATCTCCTGCTACTTTTGTGCCTTGGACTGGGACCAGTTGTGGGAGCAGAGGGCAGGGATTTGTACCAGAATGAAGTATTAGCGTGCATGTGGCTCAGGCTGCCGGCTCCCTCTCTACTTCCAACATCCCAGACAGCAAAACAGAGAAAGGGAAAAATCACATATAAAAGAAAATTGCTCATTAGGCAGTCCCTGATTACATAGAACTGTCTTTGCTTCAAACCATCCTGTTTTTTGTAACATTTGTCAGATGAGAGGACGAGCACCTCCTCTTACCAACCAGCCATACACGGCCTTAACTGAAAGTTTCAGTAAGGGAGGTTTCAGTAATTGGCCTATTCATCATTCATTGTTTATCTTAAGTTCACATCATCGCAGGGAACTCCAGAGACATCCTTGATTTAAGTTAAGAAACTTAATCATTATGATAAAACTGCTCAGGGAGCTGGAGTTCGTGTTGGAGACGTGCGTGGCCATGTGGCACTCCAGCAGCCGCTACTCACAGCAAATTATTCAAAACTGACAAGGCTTTTTGGAGAGAAAAGAGAAAGATAAATTCATGGTGGCCATTCTGATGGAGGTGCTCAGAAAGTTATTACTGAAGACACACGCTTCTCCTTGCTCACAGCCCGTGAAAAATCCCGCTCCTCCGAGCTCAGGGGACGGCTGCCTCATTGCTGCTGCTGAGACTCCCTCGTCAACAGAAGTTATTAACAGCGCTGGAGAATTTTATCCAAATGCCAGTTTCATCTTGATAAATAACAATTTCATGTCTCTGTTCTACCAGATGACTACACGGTTTTATTTCAAACACTTAACTTCTTCCGAAATGCTTCCCCATGCACAAGGCTCAGCTCAGCTGCAGAATATGTGCTGAGCAGTTTTTATTTTCACCAGGCTTTGAATACCTGTAACGCAAAGACCAAACCCATAATCCTGCACTATTGTAAATCACTTTTCGCAATAAAGATCTGCTTCCTACTGGGAATGCTAAAATGTAATTGAAAGCTACATGTGTGTTGGTGTCACACTGAAAAGACTTTCATTAAAAATAGTTTGAGAGTTGTGTACATCTGAAGGAATATTCTGCAGCTCCTCTTGGATGTGCAAGAAAGGAAAGCAGGAAGAGGATCACCTGGGAGTGATGGGTTGGTGTCTCCTCTGCCCTGCAGTGATCTCCCTTCTGTCGCCCTTTGCCCAAAACCATTGTGCAGAGGTGTTATTTGGTTCCCTGTTCATGGTGGCAGATGATGCTCGGAGTGGTGCCAATGCTCTTCTGGCAGCAGTTAATTGCCAGCCTGCTTCATTAGAAGCTGATAATTTTGTAATGACTGTGTCTGAGGTGCAGGA